AAGGAGCATTTCCCAAATGTGCTAATCTCCAGCACCACCCGGGGGGTTCACTAAGATGCAGGTTCCCAGGCCCCTCCCCAGGACACTGCAGAAGTAGGTCTGGGGAGAGCCTAGGAGTTGGCTGGTCAGGCAAGCTTGGGGCACTCCATCCAGGGCCCACCTCTGGTGGCCCTCTGTCTCTCAAAGGTCTTCAATAGCTCCCCGGTGCCCATAAAATCAAGTCCCTCCTCAGCCTGACCTTCTGGCTTCTCTGTCTGAGCCCCTGCCTCTTTCTGGTCTCTTCTTTCACTCTGCTCCACGACCTGCCCAGCGCCCAGCAGCCATTGTCACACTGTGCCATCATTTGGATTTCTGCGCCCCCATCTCTGTGTGCCTGAATCGTGCTGTACCAGTTGTATATTGCGGTGGTAGATCACCGCGAATTCAGCAGCTTGAAACAACGTCCATCTGTTATCTCGCAGTTCTGTGGGTCAGAAGGCCAGCAGGTGTGGCTGAGTTCTCTGCTCAGGGTCTCACAGGTGGGAACCCAGGGGTGGGCAGGTCCAGATCTCGCCCAGAGGCTCTGGGGAAGAACCAGTCTCGCTCCGGTTGGGGCAGAATTCAGGTCCTTGCGGCTGCAGAACTAGGTCCCCATTTCCTTGTGGCTGTCAGCTAGGGGCTGCTCTCAGCTCCTAGACGCCCCCTGAATTCCTCAGCACGAGGTGCCCTCCATCTTCAAAGCTAGCAATGTCACATCAAATCCTTCTTGTGCCTCAAAGCTCTCTGACTGCCCCTTTTGCCACAAGCTGGAGAAAATTCTCTGCGTTTAAAGGGCTCATGTGATTAGGCCAGGCCCACCGGGATAATCCCCTTTTGATGAACTCAAAGCCAACTGATTAGAAACCTCATCATGTCTTTTGCCACATAACTAACATAATCATAGGTATGATGTCTCATCCTATTCACAGGCCCCAGGATTAGGGCAGGACATCTCGAGGGGCTGTTTAGGATTCTGCCCACACACCCCTTTCCTTTCCAGGCCCTCCTCACATACCTCACTCCCCTTGGGGTTTGCCCAGTGCCGGCAGCACCTTCCTCATGGCCTCCTGTCCTCTGGACTCTCGCCACACTCAGTGTCCCCCACTGAACTGGGGACTCTTGGCAGCAGGCTGGTTTACCCTGTATCCTCTGCTCCATGCTCCATGAGGCACCGACCCTGCCTCCCTGGAGGCTGAGACATGCAGTGGAAGGAGCCCAAGCTCTGGGCCTGATGGGCCTGGGTTTGAATCCCAGCTCCACCAACTGTGTGACCTTGGCCAAGCACTTCCTTCTCTGCCTCAGTTTCCTCATCTGTGCAATGGGTCTAGGAGCACCATGTCACAAGGCTGTGTGAGGTCCAATAGATGAGCCCTGTTCCTTATCTAGAAGGGGCCCCACACACCCTCGGTGTAACCTGAGCGGGAATTGCAGGGTCCAGGAAATGCCTGTCAGTGAAGCCAGTCACAAGATGCAAGAAGCAGGCAGAATAAAGGCAGCAAGGATGGGGTGCAGGCAATGCTGGAGACGGTGGCTGAGCTCAGCTCAAGGTTCACGGGACTCGGGGTCAGGTCCCTGCTCTGCACAGCCTGCAACACTGCAGGTCTCAGATGCCAGCTGCCCTTGGGAAATCTTCCATTCAGCCCAAAACTGCTTCTTGAGCACTTCTGCCAGGTTCCGTCTCACGCCTTGAGGATAGAGCAGGAACCAAAGCAGACGTGGAGGGTCCCCATGGAGCTTATAGGCTGGTGGTAGACATTCAGGAAACAGATAATGACATACCGTCCTCAGTGTCACAAAAGGCACAGCAGAGTGTTATCTTACAGAATATGAGTATGTATGTGGGGGCCCCTCTGGGGTGGAACATTTACGCTGGGGCCACACAGATCCAGAGGAAGAGCACTGCTCTAGGAGGAACAGCATGTGCAAAGGCCCTGGAGCAGGAACTAGCTTTGTGTGTTCAAGTAACAGAAGGAAAGACAACCGAGATGGAGAGGAGAGGACAAGGGGGCTCATGTATGTGATGAGGCTGAGGGACAGGCAGGGGCCAGAAGATGCCAGGCTGAACTTGCACTGACTGAGTGCCTGCCCTGTGCTGGGCACTGTCTGAGCACTTTCACATGGGTTAACTCATCCAAATGTCAGAACACCATGGGGTGTGGGTGCTATTATTGTCCCCATGTGGAGATGAGGGGGCCCAGGCTGCAGAGGTTGAGAGCTCTGCCCGAGGTCAGAGAGGTAAGACGTGGCTGAGCCCCGCTGAGCCCAAATGGCCTAAGACCCATCCAGGGTGCCCTGACCCTGGATATTTCTGCCCTCTGGGCATTGGTAGGTCTCCACATTGATTAGGAACCAGAACTTGATCCCAGGCAGAAGCATCCCCTCTGCTTTCTCCCACCCAGACAGATGCCAGACCCTTGGAACCAGACGCTAGTCGCCATCCAGCTCGGGATGACCCGAGCTGCAATCCCATTTGGGGACAGGGCGTGTGTGTGGACATGCGTGGGTTACGCAGACCTCAGAGGCCTAGAATCCGCCCTGGGAGCCCAGGCTGGGTACGAACCTCAGGCACAGCCGTCCTGCTGCCCCAGGCGGCTCCTTCTGCTGCCCGAGTGTGTGTGTGTTTTTGCCCGTGCGCGTGCGTACCCCGCGCACAGGGAGAGGGGATTCATAGGGCGCTTCCCAGCCCAGATCTTCCCCAGCCTTCGCGCCACTCAGATCCCCTTCCAGACGCCAACAGGAAACCAGACGCAGTCGGTGCAGCGGCTTGCAGGACGTCACGCGGGCGGTGCTTGAACCCGGCCCCGCGATACCTGCTCCTCCGACCTTTCTCCCCGGCGCCGCCTCCCCCTGCAGCCGGCAGGGGGCAGCGATGCTGCGCCGTTGTCCCTCCGCGTCCGGAGAGGCGCGTTCTACATCCTGCTCTCCGGGGAAACTGAGGCACAGAGACGCAGGCTGAGTCAGTGAACGAACCCAGGCGCCCCGCCCGCCGGTCGTAATCCTCTCCTCTCCCGGCCCCACTCCGCCCGGCTGGACCAGGAGCCAACCCGACCTCCGGTCCGGGAGCGGGCTGGGGTGGGCGGTGGGGTCCGTGTGGCCGGGGGTCCGGGGTGGAAACCGAGCCCGGGAGCCCGGAGGAGGCCGCCCCTGCGGTCGGAGTTATTTCAGCCCCGCCACGGCCCCACAGCTCCTGAGGATTCGCCCCATTAACGGACGCGGAGACTGAGGCTGGTGGCGGTGGGGGGCGAGGTGGCGCGCGGACTCTGTGCCAGAGAGGGGGCCACTGCCTGCCTCGCAGCCCCTTAGCCTGGCGTGGCCCAGTGGCCCGCGCCCCCGGCCCTGGCGCGCAGGCGTCCTCGCGTCCGCCGTGTCGCCGCGGGGTGGCAGCATCCGACCGCGCGCCGGAGCTCCTCCCGCGGCTCCGCATCCCCGGGCCGGCCCCGCTCCAGCCGCCTGCTGCGAGGGCTCGACCCTGACCCTCTTGTTTCCAGGGTTCAGCTTCCCGGTCCGTGAAATGGGGTGACATCTGGGTGCGCGGGGGACACTCGGGGATGAGGCTGCTATGGTCATCTCACTTCTTTCTGTGCCTCAATTTCCCTGCCCGTGATTATCTCCAAAGTCCTTTTCATCTGGGAACGCTCTCCATCCGCCCGGCTCCGCACAGCTGCACCGGCCCCGCCTCTGATCCTGGGGCCAAGGGATGGCCCGCGCCCGGGTCGTGGCAAAGGTTCAGGGGATTTGGAAGGATTAAGAGGGGATCAGGGGCAGGGGGTCGAGCGGGACTGCGGGAGACAGAGGGAGGTAAACTCTAAGTCCTTGCCGGGGTTTGGCTCCGTGGGACCAAGAGTGGCTGGAGTCCACACCCCTCCCCCCACCTCCCGCACTCATACTCCCACCCCAGCGAGACTCGGGTCCTGGCTGGTCCTTGGGGACTAAGCGCTTCTCAGTTCCATCCACTCGCCCCAAAGTGGCGTGCTCGAAGGCGTCCAGAGCTGCGAACCCGCGGAGCAAGCGTGGAGCTTGGCCAGGACAGCAGTTAGGCGGCCGGTCACCGTCCCACCCCTCGGAATAGACAGGGCTTCCGCGCAGCAGGGTCGGGCGGGCCCGGGCGCCCACTCGCCCCGGACTGAGCCAAGCCAGATCGCTCTGGGTGTGCGAGGCGCCTTGGCGGTTCTGACCTCGCGATCTGGGCGCTGAACGTGAATCCTGAGCCCGGCACTGCAGAGGAGACCGCGAAGACTTCGGGGACCAGGGGCGGCGGGGAAGGGGAGGCATGGAACCCCTGGGGGCCGGGAGCCTTCCCCAAAGCCATAGAAGCCCCCTCAACATCCTCCTATCCGTCCCCCTTCATGGTGCCTAGACGAACGGCTTCTGCAGGAGCTTATTCTAGTCATCCCCCTGCATGTGGCCACGCCTGTCTGTCTGTCTTTTTCCTGTCCCCACTCTGAGTTAGCGCCACTGGCAGCAGTGCTTACAGGTGGAGGTGACCCTGGGTGCTGGGAGGAGGACTCCAATCGAGGTCTGCGGGGGGAGGCAGCGAAGCCTGGGCTAAGGGTGTGGCCCAGGAGGACCCCTTGTGGATTACTGCTGTGTGGAGGGGAAGCGTGCCCAGAATGGCGATGGGAGTGGGTGGTCTCTCCCTCACCAACTAGAAACAGGAAGCCGAGTGGCCACCGCGACCTGTACCAGCCGCTCCCCGCCCCGCCACCCCCACCCCCACCCCCGCGGGCGCAGAGAAGCGGCCGGCCCCTCCGCAGGTGTCTCTAGCGAGCCGCACCCTCCCCCGCACACCCCCCCCCACGCACCCAATCCCCCTTCCCCCGCCCAATCCCGGGAGGGCTATCGCAAGGGAGCTGGCTTGGGGAGGGGGGTCCGGAGGGTGGATGCGTTTGTGTGCCACGGGGGAGGGAGGAGAAAAGGGAGGGGAAAGCCGGGGATCGAGGGAGAGAGAGAGAGAGCGCGGCGAGCGAGGAGGGCGGGCGGGAGGCGGATCCTCCTACCTGCGGCGCGCTCGCTCGCTCGCAGCTCGCTTGCCGGGGCCGCGAGTCACCTGGGAGGCCGACAAGTGCGGACACATTGGCCGCCGCGGCGCTCGGCGAGGCGCGCACAGCCCCAGGCTGCTGCGCCCAGTGGAGACAGCGCCCGCCCGCCCGCTGCACTCGGGCTCTGGCCCCCGCTGGCGCTCATAGGGCCCCGCGGTCGCTCAGCCCGGCTCCGAGGTTGCGGCCCCCGGCCCAGGTCACTCCCCCAGGCGCACGCGGCGGCGGCGCCCCGGGCTCACCATGGTGGCAGCGCGCGCCGAGTGCCCGCGCATCGCCGGCCGCCCGAGCCGCAGCGCCGGCTGAGAGCTGTCGGCCGAAACCCCCCGCCCCTGCCCGTTCCCCGCCCGGCCCGCGCGTCCCCTCCGGCCGCCACTGTCTATGGCGCAGCCCCCCTCTCTGGATCATGCACAGAAACTTTCGCAAGTGGATTTTCTACGTGTTTCTCTGCTTTGGCGTCCTCTACGTGAAGCTTGGGTGAGTATCCCCGTGGGCAGGGGTCGCCGCCGAGGGTTGGGGCAGCCGGCAGGAGCCGCCTCCAGGGGGTCCCCGCAGGGACTTGGGGACCGCAGGAGGGCACAGGCGGCTCTCGGGGATCCGGGGCTGGCCGGTGTGTGTTGGACCCTCGCCCCAGCCCGGCAGGGACGCAGCTGAGCCCCCTGAGTGGCGGGTACTCCCAAGGGGCGCCCTGCCCAAAGCTGGAGGAGGGAGAGGAGGACGCGCGGGCGGCCGCGGCCAGGCTCGCGGGTAGCGGCGAGCGTGCCCGGCGCGTACTTTCACCTGTTTGGGCTCCAGGGCCCGGGGGTGGGACGCGCCTTCCCTCCCCCGGGCTGCGCTGGGCGCCGAGCCCG